GGACTGAATTCACACTATTTTTGACAGTCTGCAACCCCCCTGAGTTTTGATTCCATGAAGGTTAACCAATTTAACCTCATAATTACTGTGTGTGTGGAAGGGAATGGAATCTTCTTAAGATCCCAACAAAATTCAAACGTATTCACTTTTGGTTTGTGCTGTAGAGAGCCCCAGTCCAACAGACAGAAATTACTACCAATTCTGCTCTCATCATTCAATTTATGTGCCCCAAAACAGGAGAAAGATCAGTTCTGAAGTCAGGTCAAAAGCACATGAGCTAAATAGGGAGGTAGGAACCTCTCAGTATTAGTTGTGGGCAAGGCTGCTTTACTGTTGACAACCAGAAACATGCAGGAATGAAGATATCAGATTAAAGCAAAGATAGGAAAACCTTGATTGGTATGATCATATTAAATTGCAAAATATTAAGAGTAATAATATTATTTACATCTAGCTCTTGCCATCTTTTAATTCTGTTAGGCTGCAAATGACATCTATTTTTTTTAATACAATGCATCTACACTTAATTTCTGTTGAATTCTCTCTTAATAAATAAAAGTACATGTAACCAAGAAACATAGGGGAATTTAAATTATCTTGACTGTGGCTGGGTTTCTCAGCCTTTGGGATCCAATCTCTATGTCTACAGAGGTCAGAGGCAAAGAACTGCAGAGGCAGGATTCTCTAAGAATTATATTTTTATTAAAAAGGGTCAAGCACACAAATCTCACACAGGCACACAAGAGGCTAAGAATCAAAAGTGTTAATGTGGAACAGATGAGGCTTCACTAACAGAGATACAATACCAGTAGTGATGATGCTCCTGTAGAAGCAGCTTGAAGGATGAGTCTCGAGGCTCAGTCGCTCCTGGACCACGCTGAGGTTTGAGCGATGAGGGGTCTAACGGAGAGGCCAGTGACAAAGTTTCTGCCTACAGTCTAGCTGGTCCACTGGACAATAGACGCTTTGGGGGTTTTATAAGGGAATTTCAGCCTGGGGCAAGGTCGAAGCATCCCATGATCAATAGTCCAAATTATATGAGGTAACGCTCAGGAGTGGGGACTTCTGAGGTGAGAATTGGGATGCAAATAGACAGATTCCTGTTTTAGGTAGCCCGCAGGACTTGATATACAAGAACAAATAACACACTTGAATGTTGTATTGTTCCTTGATAGGCTTTCCTTATCTCTCAGGATAGGTGTGGGTGAGTCACATCCCTCTGGTGATTCCTAAGCTAGCCAACATGACCCTTATGCTTGAGGTTCAAGCCGTTCTCATGCAGGTCATGGAGAGGTGAATTTCACCATATTTCTTGATACTAAAAGGAAGACAGTCAAATACTGTAACATACATTGAAAAATCAATTTAGTATTCTAATCTATAAATATTTACATCGCTTTGAAATTGGTTTCATGTTGTGACATCCTGAAAAGAATTCCAAGTGTTATGGTATTGAGAAGATTGACAATTTGTTGCAAGAACCCCCTAATCATAACAGAAGTATAGGTTCTGGGATTTCTTGGGTGAGAGGCACAACACTCAAATTGGTTTAATGTTACAATACTATAGTGTAGACATGTTGTGAAAGTCATTGTTCTTGTCCTTTAGCTCACCAACACAACTGAATTCCAACAAACTAGTCTTTCTATAGATGGGAACTCTTCTTTCTTCCTCATTACAGGGAAGGCTTATGTAATTGCTGGTGTGTTGTTCCTTTCTGTTTGCATCAAAGTTTCTTGTTTAATCAGTACTCATTTCCTAGCAGGTTTTCACGGACCCCAGCAACCTGCAGAGGCATATTCGTTCGCAACATGTTGGGGCTCGTGCCCACGCTTGTCCGGAGTGTGGTAAAACGTTTGCCACTTCTTCAGGCCTCAAACAGCACAAACATATCCACAGCAGTGTCAAGCCTTTTATATGTAAGTCTTCCACTTAACTGCTAAGCTTCTATTCTGTTTTTGAGTAAGATGTGAACGCAGATAGAAAGCTCTCCCATTAAAACCAATGCATCCAAATCTGTTTGGCTTTGCTGGATCATGTTATTCCTTAGAAGAACCAGCCACCCTGTCTATGGAATCTTCAGCCATGTTTTTCACTGATGGACAATTTTCTTATTCCCTCAACTTCCATGATTCAGTGATTTATTCAAGAGGCATTTATGGGGGACTGCTCCTAGATCTCAGTCTAGATTGTAAGCTGTTGAATTGTTATCAATATAAGTTGTACGCTTAATACATTGTCTCCATTCAGTGCACCCTTCCTCCACATCAGATACTGTCTTTAGCATTACTGAAGAAAGTTAAACAGAACCCCAGGAAATGATTTATGCTGCATTCCTTGGTACATTTCTCTGGGAGTAAGCCTCATTGAACTCAATAGATCTGTTTTTAAATACAGTTGCCCCTCCCAATTCGTGGGGGGGATCCGTTGTAGATCCCCCCCTCGAAAATGGTAGCTCACAAATATTCAAGCCCCATTTAAACATGGTCATTTAAAGTATAGCTCTTGTCTCTCCCCACGAAGAGCAATATTGTGGACTCGAAGTCCATGCATGGGGAGGGACAACTGTACATATATGTAGAATTGCATTGTCAAGCTTATTCATGTAGGATAAGGTTAAAAGTCATGTTAGCTAGATATTACCTTCTGGATTAGAGACAGCTTGCTTCTGTATACTAGTTTCTGGGGGACAGGCAACTGTATTTTGTATTCAGGCTTTCTATGAGCAACTTTGAGTCCCATTTTAAGAGGAAAGAGGGGGTATAAATCGAATACATGAATAAACAAACATAAACAAGGGAATGCTATTGCCCTCATGTCCTGCTTATGGGCTTCTCTCACATTTCAGGAATAGCATTCTGGATTACATAAAGCTTTGGTATTATGTTCTTATTATTCTAAGTATGCACTTGGGATAATGAAATTATCTTATTCCTGCAACTTTTTTTGCCGATAATACATGCGTTTAAAATTGTCTACAATGGTGAATATGGTGGTGGTTCTTACATTATGTGGCAGAAAAAACTGGAACACCATTTCCTATGGCAGAAATAGGGAATCTTTGCTGTCTAGCTGTTTTGGGTTTCAGTCCTAGATGACCTTGTAAGTATAGCCAATGTTAAAGAATTTTAGGAGCTGAAGTCCAAAACATCTGAAAGGCCAAAGGTTCTTCAGTTTTCCCTGCCCTATGGTATGAACATGCTGGAGATGTGGCACACTTCTTCTTCTGTGTGTGTATTTATATGTACATACATAACATATGTATGGACTTAGCACTTTTACCACATTTCATTTCAGTTTTGTACCTCACTGCTTTGCATGATTGCTGTTTATACTTGCTTCTTCCTCATGCAGTTTAATATTCAAAGTTTATATGTGTGTGAAAAGAGGATAGTGAATGGTACTGGAAGATTGATTTGTGCTAGAAGAAACTAGGTAATAGGTGCATAGCTAAAAATAGAATTCAACCACCAAAAACCTTTAAGAATCACTCAGAGGATATATTGCTTTAATTTCTACAGTGTATGTGGTATAGCTTCAACGTACATTAATTAATTTGAGTCCACTTTTTATTTGTAATCTACTTCTTGTTTGAACTTCCAAAGAGGCCTAATTGGACTAACCCTCAAATGTGGCTATGGCGAGTGGTTTGAGTCGGTCAGCAATGGCAGAATACACAGACAGAAATACAAATCTGGAACTAAGCCTCCTTATTTGTCTGCCTCTAGAAATATCACCATCACATAGCATAGAATCATAGAATTGGAAGAGGTCCCATAGGCCAGCAAGTCTATCACCCCCTGCTCAATGCAGAAACTTCAGCTAGAGCATCCCCAGCAGGTACCTGTGAAGTCTCTTTTTGAATATGTTCAGAGAAGGAGACTCCACAAATTCTCTGAGTAATTGGTTCCACTGCTGAACCACTCTTACTATCAAGAAAGCCCTACTACTATTCATTTGAACTCTTCACTCCTGTAACTTAAAACTATTTGACTTGGTTCTATTTTCTGGGGAAGCAGATAATAGGCCTGCACCCTCCTCTCTGTGACAGCCCTTGAGGTTCTTAAAGAGTGCAATCATGCCATTCTTCTCTTCTCTTCTTTTCTCTTCACCAAGCTGAACATGCCCAAGTCCCTCACTCTTTCCCCATATGTTTATCCTCCATTTCTCTTTATCATCCTTGCTGCCTTTGTCTTGAACCTGTTACAACATCCATGAGACACCCAGAACTGAATGCAGTACTCCAGATGAGGCCTCACTAGCACAGAATATTGCAGTGCTTTCGAGTCATTTCTGATTTATGGTGATCCTAAGGTGAAGTTTTCACTGGCAAGATTTCTTTAGTGGGGCTTTCCCTTTTCCTTCCTCTGATGGTGAGAGAGTGTGACTTGCCCTAGGACATCCAGTGGGTTTCCATGGCCGAGTTGGAATTTGAATCCTGGTCTCCAGAGTCATAGTCCAGTGCTCAAACCACTATACCATGTGGTCTGTCAGCTCAGAATAGAGTGGGATTATTATTTCCTTTGACTTGAAAACCATTGTTCTGTTAATGCAGGCTAAAATATCATTTGCCTTCTTTGCTGCAGCATCACACTGCTGGGTCATGTTCAATTTATGATTAATAATAATCCCAAGGTCCTTTTCACATGTACTATAGCTAAGCCAAGTATGGCCCATTCTATACCCATGTATTTGTCTTTTGTGACTTAAATGTAGAATTTTACATTTGTCTTTGTTGGAGTTCATTCATTTTCAGCCCAGTTTTCTAGTTTATCCTGGTCCTTTTCAGTTCTGTTTCTCTCTTCCAGTGTGTTAGCTACCCTTCCTAGTTTTGCATTACCTGCAAACTTGATAAATATTCTTTCTATCCCATCATTTAAGTAATTGATAAAAATGTTGAAGACTGATGGCCCCAGGACACAACCCTGCAGAACACTACTAAGACTTCAATTTAAGCATATTTTCTCCCTTCCTACCAAGCTAGTCATGGGAAGACCCATAAAAATTCCCTGCCTCTGTTTCATTCTGCTATTGAGGATACTCAGTACATGATCCTACTCTTCCCTGCCATTAGAATTTGTAAACATTGTGGCAGGGAGGTGAGAATTCACCACGGGGATGTTGTTTTTGGTTCCCATACACACCAACTCTTAGAAGAGAGTCTGTTTCATTTCAGAAGCTTCCTGGTATCCAAGGCTCCATGGGCAATTCTGGAAATACTTTCATAACCTCATTTTATATTGTGTGCTCTGGCACACTTCCCCAGGCCTAAGCCTAATTACGCATTGAACCTTTTGTAAGTTTATTTTTTTTTTCTCCTAATGTAGCCTCAGGAAGAAAAGAAGAGCTACTGGTGGATGTGACTAATAAAGTGTAAGAAGATTCCACCAAATGAGATTTTCCCTTTAGCAAGCCACTAAAAATGTTGGAATCATTCCAGGCAATTGCTAGTTTCAGAATAAGCTTTCATATATACTTCCCCAAAGGATGAGGGAATCTTATCGATAAACTCAACCTAGAATTTTTCTTGGGAAGTGAGAATTAAGAATGAGGCCAATACAGTTTTATCACTTTACATCTCTCATTTTAATTAGCTGTTTCTAAATTGTTCTAAGCAGCAGTCAAGGCAACTTGATATTTTACTAAACTGAAGCATGCATATGGAAAGGTGAAGGGTTCATCCAAGAAATACTGTTCTGGAGAAGATATTCAAGGTAGCTGGATTGGCCATGCAGCAAAATACAACAAAATCCAAAACCCACAAAGCAGCAGTATATTTATTTGGTCAGCTCCAAAGCGTACAGTACATTATGCAAGCTTTTGAAGCTTCACTGGCTTCATGATCAGGCAAACATGTTTAAAAATCATACAGGAGAAAAAAGGTGACATTCTGGAGAGCTGATAAGTCAGTTGAATCAGTAGGTGAGATATTCAAGAGAGGATCATAGTATAATTACCTAGAAGCTTCTTTTTGTGGCATGGTATTTTTGTGGTTCTTTCTTTCCAGTAAGGATGCTGGATTTTAACTTTTTTCTGTGACTCAGAATGTAGTAAAAAATGCTTAATCCCATAGCAAGAGTGCCCACAGTTCCCATGATTCCTTAGCACTGAGCCAGGACAGTTAAAGTAGCCTCAAGCTGCACTATTTCTGCCTGTCTGTAAAGGCCCTATGTTATGAAAAAGACAGACTGGCAAAAAGAAGCTGGGCATACTAGACAAGACATGAACAGCAGAAGCTCGATGAAATAATGAGTATTGGAGATTTGGACATGAAGGAAGGATGTCTGTGCTGTTGATAGGAGAGGCATGGGCTGGCAATAGTGATTTGAAAGTTGGGAATTACAAGCCAAGAAATTGGGGAGGCACAAAGTTACTAGGTCTAGAGTCCACTTCAGGTGTGAACAACATGCATAACCTTCCCCCCCCCCCCCCCCCCCCCCCCACAATATTGATGCTGCAGCTCCTATCAGTCCTTACTATCATAGCTAACAATTAGGGATGGTGGTAATTCTGCTCTGACAACATCTAAATGACCTCAAGGTGTCCACCCCAGTCAGTAGGCTGATAGGCCCAATTGTGTCTGTTATGTCTTTTGTTGAATTATGACTTGATCAGCCTAAAGGTGGAGGGAGAGCCCCCAAAGTAGGTTGTGGGAAGACTGAATTGTTTATCATATATTAATGTGAAATTAGCGCACACACACACCCTTTTTGGATGCAGGTGTCTGTTGAGCTAAAATGCTTTCCTAGCCAGAGAAAGATACATTTAGATCCTATGGCCTCTAGAAGTCTATTCAGACATTCCATTTCTGGGTTAAATAAATATTTAATGAGTGTGTGTATGCTCACTAGCTCCCCTTCCCTGTTGCTGCTTCCATCACTCTCCTCACATGAAAAGTGATGATCTGAAGAGGAGGGTATCCAGGTATACATTAAGATGCTCCATACAAAACTGGAACCCTGATTTTCTATGAATAGAGGACATGTGAATAGAGGCAGTTTTTTTCTTCAGATCATCACTTCACATAAGCAGTAAACATAGTGGCTGGTGTTTTGTTAGTGATTCATACATGTGTAATACTTTTGTACTTTTTTGGCATGGCATAACATCCATATTCAGTGAAAGGTTGTGAAAGTTGTCAAACAGGTGGTGCCTTTAGGTGCCATTGTGCATGGGCCATACAGATATAGATTGAGCATTGCTATTGTGCCTTTCACATTTGTTTGCACATTCAGTGGCACAGTGTTGGAATTCACTCATGTGCAACTGTGATACTCTGGCTGCAATCCAACATGCACCTGGCATAGTGTTAAAATCCATTGCGCAACGTCAGCAGAATATGTGCTATGGTGAATAATTCACCCCAACATTCATGGTGCAATTTAGCAAAGCAAAGCAAAGCAGCTTCATTTATATACCACTTCATAGCATGCTATGTAGTGTCTAAGCAGTTTACAACTGTAAGCTCATCGCCCCCCAACAGCTGGGTAATAAATAATAATAATAATAATAAAATTTATTTGTACCCCGCCCATTGGTAATCCAATCTGGGCGGCATTTACAATTAAAAGATACAGATTACAAAAACATACAATATAAAAAAACCCCTCCCCCCTTAAAACTGAATTAAATTTAAGACAAGGTAAAACAATAAATCAAATTAAATCTATTAAAATATATAGCCCTCCTG